CGGTGGTTGACGGAGTACAGTTCGGCATCACCTGTAGCAGATTTCAAGGTCTATAGGTCTCTGTGGCAATACTATCGTCATTAGTTTCCTTTTCAATGATATTTAATCCACGAGCATGTTTGATAACGTAGAGATCAGTGATAACTGACACAAGTCGAAATCCTACGTAAGTGAAATGCAGACGATGACGTAACGTCGTCGCTTCATAAATTGCACATGATCCCTGAATAAACAGATTAATGGTCACATGGATAAAACAAATTCTTTAGAGAGCTTTCTGATGGAGTGAAGCAATTTTTGATGACATTAGAAAGCTTCGAAAATTTCAGCCCGAAACTTTGGCTTTCCACACATGAAAAAAGAAAACTGTTCAAAAGTTTCAAAGGAAATCCTCCAGAAACGTCTAAAAAAAGTTTTATTGTGGTTGCTCCATTGAAAAGTTATTTAAATTTTGCAGGCTGCACGGTTAAAAAATCCTAGGAGTATGTGATTTTGCTGGAAAGTAACCCTACTGATGCAAGCACCCGAAAAAGGTTTTTTTTCATCTTTCAATAAATTAATATAAAGTTTGACTATAAAGTACGAGTTTAAAATTTTTTTTTGTTTTGAGATTCGCAGCTCCTGTTGCGATGGAGCTCATTTTGCAAATGAGTTTACGATATCGAGCTGGATGGAATTTTTGATTGTGAGGTGGGACATATTCAATTCTTTTTGTCGTTTTTTTCCAGCCCCTTCATTTGATGTTTTGCCATTAGTTTTATTCCTGAGTGCAACTGGATACATTGATTTTGGATCCATGATCTTCCTGTGATGTCAGTGGGGATAGCTATGCTAAAAGCATGGGAATTTGAATTTTTTTAAAGTTGTAGGAGACTTAATAAATACACGCACTAATTATTATGTATAAAAAGTATGCGACAGGTTGAAAAAATACAATTATATTAAACCCAGGCTGGGATGTACCAGGCGGGCCGATGCGATTATGCGTTTTAGCATCAAACTTCGAAGTACCGTCTCCCATAGAGGGGGGAATAGAAAAGAAAGAAAGGGGTTCCACTTATGCCACCATTCGACTGAGGACGGGGTTTGATCATTTGTGCAAATCGACGAATTAACGGCCCATCGCTACTTCGCACATTGACCAGGACAACTTCAATTTCCTACTTTCGCAGTTCTGGAAGTGAGATAAACTAGTACATCCTTTATTTCCAAATACCACTGCATTTCTCTGTTTTTCTCCCTTCTCTCTCCCGCCCAGGCAAGGATACCAATCACGTGGGCGGGACCATCTCGGCGCCTCTCCCCT